AAAGGGGTTTCTTGTAGTTCTTAATGAACACAGAGTTCTACGAGTCTGGGTCTGGGGCTGAGTGAATGGGCATGTTGTCAGTGGCTTTCTGAAAATCTAGTGGAGTTATGGTTATGTAAGAAATTTTTCATAAATTGACATACATTTGAGGTTCATTCATGAAAAAAAATCATTTGGATTGTCGATCTTCAGACTGATTAGTGGCTCGCTAAACACAGAGTCGTGTTGAGACTTCAGTATCTCACTCATTTCTTTGTCGTCATTTGTATGAGTTCCATCTACAGCGGCCAGATACTGGATGTAGTTTCGAATTTCTTTCAATTTCACTAATCGCGTTTAGCTCCTCCTGTCTCTCCTGGATCCTGTATGAGTCCTTTAATTCAGGTTTAGTATTTACCACTTCACTGAATAGCGCTTCATTCCGTGTTTTACATAGTGTTCTTAAGGAGCTCAATTATTCTTCGCCTTCTCTTGTAGAGGGAACTTCTCTCTCCAGTTTACTTCTTTTTTTTCTTAGAGGGATATGACTTGGACATAGTTCAGCTGCCAGGAAGTTGATCTTTTCAAGGCGCTGGTTAAGATCCATGTTATTTAAGATATCTTCCCAACAAGTTTCTTTCAGGACAAGGTTCACTTGATCCCAGTTGATGTTCTTGTTGTTAAAGATGAATTTGTTGAAGACACCTTCATAGCCGCGTGCATTTTGCTGGTCAGGACTTGTGCATGTAAGTCTGAACCTCGATTGGATTGTGATCTGAATTAGTTTTTTATATTATGTTTCTTACTAGATCCTCATTATTTGTGAAAATAAAGTCAAGTGTGTTCTGCAGTCTTGTTGGCTCCACTATCTGCTGACTTAGGATGTGTTTATTCCAGAGATTTAGCAGCTCATGTGTGTGTGACTTTTCATCTGCGCTGCCTCCAAGGATTGTTTCTGCTGTAACATTATTTGCTACAGTCTTCCATTTTGTATGTCTTAGACTGAAATCACCGAACAGCAGGATGTTTGGGGATGGGACTGGAAGGTTTTCCAGACAGTCGTCAATTTTCAATAGCTGTTCCTTGAACTGTTGGGAGGTTGCATCTGGTGGCTTATATACAACCACGTTGACTAAGTTTTGGTTCTCGATCTTTATTGTTAGAACTTCAACTACATCACTTGCCGTGTTCAGTATCTCTGTGCAAATGAACGACTCTTTGGCATACAGGCCAATCCTCCCTTGTTGCCTGTTCATTCTGTCGCATCTAAAAATTGCGCCCAGTTATCCGTATTTCGTTGTCAAAGTGATCTTTTGTGTGGGTCTCTGTGAAGGATGCAAGCATCGCATTTGACTACTCTAGAAGTCCACTGATGAAAGGTATTTTGTTGTTGGTGGATGGCTTAAGGTCCTGCATATTAGCAAACATAAGTGAGGTCGTGTTGCATATTTGTTGGGGAGTTTTTCTTGTTGGCATCAATAGTTCTGGTTCTGGAGGGACACAGGGGCCCACTGCTGTGCCTCCAGTCCAACAAGGGCCTCGCAGAGACTTCACGAGCCATATCCACAGATACGTTCTTGGAAAGCGATGGTCCCGGTGGGCCCCTGTGTCCTGGGAACAAGTTATACAGGGCTCAGCAGGACCTAGTGTTTAGAGCTCCCTTCCTCCTCTAACAAACACCGTCACTTTGAAATTAATCTGTCGACTGACTAAACACACACACACACACACACACACACACACACACACACACACACACACACACACACACACACACACACCGGGACCAAGACTGCTCTTTTTACCTGGCTGACGCTGACTTTTGTTCTGTATACTATAGCTATGTGTTGTGTGTGTTAGCAAGCTGAACATCCCTCTGCCTACCTTCCCAGTGTTGCAAGTGGACGTCATTTTGTGTACATGATCAAATTTGTCAAACACCTTTACGAAATGTGCGATTTTGTTTTTCTTCCAACGTCTCCATAATTTTGTGTTGCAGGCAGCGTGTGATGTGTCTTGCGTCCCAAACAGTGTGTGATATTTGAATCTTGTGTTGCAGGCAGTGTGTGATGTGTCTTGCGTCCCAAACAGTGTGTGATATTTGAATCTTGTGTTGCAGGCAGTGTGTGATGTTTGTATCTTGTGTTGCAGGCAGTGTGTGATGTGTCTTGCGTCCCAAACAGTGTGTGATGTTTGTATCTTGTGTTGCAGGCAGTGTGTGATGTTTGAATCTTGTATTGCAGGCAGTGTGTGATATTTGTATCTTGTGTTGCAGGCAGTGTGTGATGTTTGTATCTTGTGTTGCAGGCAGTGTGTGATGTTTGAATCTTGTATTGCAGGCAGTGTGTGATGTTTGTATCTTGTGTTGCAGGCAGTGTGTGATGTTTGTATCTTGTGTTGCAGGCAGTGTGTGATGTTTGTATCTTGTGTTGCAGGCAGTGTGTGATGTTTGTATCTTGTGTTGCAGGCAGTGTGTGATGTTTGTATCTTGTGTTGCAGGCAGTGTGTGATGTTTGTATCTTGTATTGCAGGCAGTGTGTGATATTTGTATCTTGTGTTGCAGGCAGTGTGTGATGTTTGTATCTTGTGTTGCAGGCAGTGTGTGATGTTTGTATCTTGTGTTGCAGGCAGTGTGTGATGTTTGTATCTTGTGTTGCAGGCAGTGTGTGATGTTTGTATCTTGTGTTGCAGGCAGTGTGTGATGTTTGTATCTTGTGTTGCAGGCAGTGTGTGATGTTTGTATCTTGTGTTGCAGGCAGTGTGTGATGTTTGTATCTTGTGTTGCAGGCAGTGTGT